AAAAAAAAAAAAAAAAAAGAAATCACAAGAAGCAACGAGTTGAAACTTATGGTTGTATCGTTTTGCTTTATTTCCTTCTACAGAACCCAAACAAGTAGAATGACTGGTACCCTTGTGTGCCACTTTAGGCAGGGGGCCCTGTTGCCTTAGCCTTTCATAGCACCTTTTTGCATTGCTCATATAATCCTTTTTTTTTTTCTTTTTCTTTTCTTTTTTTTTTTTTTGACAGGGTCTCGCTATGCAGTTCAGGCTGGACTTGAGCTCACTTTGTAGCCCAGGCTGGTCTCAAACTTGCAACGATCCTCCTGCCTCAGGCTCCCTAGTGCTGGGATTATAGGGGAGTGCCACCATGCCTGGCCCCGTATAATCCTTAATTCATACTAAAGCAAGAAAGATTGAACACCATTTCTCTGGGGAGGGGAATAGGAATAAGTAAAGAGGATTTGAATTTAAGGATTTGAACTCTAGGTTTTAAGCCTAAAGCCTATGTGTTGTACACATCTGACTTGCCTGGGTCACAGTGAAAGAAGAGGAATTGTCTCAGGCCACATATAAAATATGTAATATAGTTAATTTATATAACCAACAAAATTTCCTTTAATTTAAAATACTTCTGATTATGATATAAGCATGTCTAACCCACAGGTACACCTGTAAACACAGGAAGAGTACTTTGGACTTCACTTGAATGTTTTAGGAGATCTCACTTTGTTGATTGAGGTTCTCTGTTTGTCTACTAAAATTGGTCCCAGATAATTGGTAACACTACCATTTCCAATAAGATCTATTCTGCTTTCTTTCTTTAGTTTTTCAGTGGCACAGAATCTGAACAGCAGCAGCAGGAGCATCAATAGATGGATGTATGTGGTATTATTTAAACCACATCTGGGATGAAGGGACACTTGGGCTAGTCCAATCACCTTCCGGTTAAAAGCCCTGTTGCATGAATTTCTTCAATTCTTGGCTTGCTCATAAATTGAAGGCTGAAATGAGGGCAACTTTTGGCACTTAAAGAAAAGCCACTTCCATGATACCTCGTATATATTTTACAAATCCTGTTGAATGAATAGAGCAGGGTTGGAGGTAAGAGGTATAGGAACAGTATGGCCATAGTAGATTGGCATTGGTTCTATCTAATTTGAGTTGGAGAGAAGAGATCCAGAGGTAGCTCTCTCGGTATCTTCCACATGCCTTGTGGCCATACAATATTAGATTTAAGCAACCAAAGCAGTAGATCAGTTTGGGCTGACTTACTGAAGCTAAAGATTTACATTAGAGTTTTTGGGTTGTCACTGTTGAAGACAAGGCCATGAGCCAAGTCACTTTTTAAAAAATCGCCACCTTTTGCTATATTGTTGGAAAGAGAAGAGCCGGCATTGCAGTTTAGAATACTGCTAGCCAAGTATGTGATGGGTTATGATTGCTTATGAGAAGAAATCTATGTTATAGCTTTAACTTGAGAAAGTACAAATAATTCAAGCTTATATTGCTTAGTTGTGGCCCTACCCCACAACCTCCAAATACCCTTCTAATTCACATGCCTGTTGATCTGGAAAAGAATGTGAGAATCCCTGTAATCTATGAGTTATCCTGGCCTAAACTATATGTTTTTGGTCTTATTGCTCACTCTAGATGTTTTGCATCTCCTCACCTAGGCTGGAAGAGGAAAAGAGATATACAGCATGCCCACTAATACCCATCTCTCCAAGCGCAGTATGTATTCTGCCTTAGGTTAGCTTTTCCCAGTTTTGAACTTGGTACAAATGGAATCACTTAATATATTTCCATGTTAGACATATTTTTCCTTAACATAATATCTCTGAGATTTGTGTATGGTTTTGGGTACTTCAGTAGTGTCTGTTTAGTACAATGTCATTGAATGAAGATATGCTATTATTCAACCACTCTTCTGCTCGTGGCTGTTGGCTTTTTTGTAGTTTTTTTTTTTTTTTTTAAGAATAAAGCTGTGTGAACATTCCTGCTCATCTCTTTTTGATGGCCATCAGCATTTATTTTTCTTGGGAGTCAAGGGTCAGGAGTAAGATTAGCATTGGAAGATATTGTCAGTTTTCCAAAGTGATTAAAGCCATTAACATCTCCACCATTAATGCATGAGAATTTTGCAGTGCCCAGTATGGGATGAAGTATAGCATCTTAGGTTGATTGGCCATATTAAAATAAACCATGACTCACCCCTACTGACATCTTCTTACACAAGCAATATGCTCCAGAAGAATCACATCACTAGTGATCTTATCAGCAGGACATGGGAGGATGCAGCCCATTGACTGTGCTTACACAAAGTAAGCCCCCTCTTCCTTTTAGCCCTCTTATTTATCAGAGAACAGTTTTTATTTATTTATTTTTTATCGGCACATGTTTGTGGTACATGTGGTACATCATTCCTCCACAAGGAATGATCACATTCCTCCACAAGGAATGATCACATTCCTTGTGAAGAATTGCTACATGTGCATAACACGTCTTATACATAACATGTACAATCCCCATTTCACCCTCCCCATACCCTCCATTCTTGTCCCCTTCTCATATGCAAAAGATTTCCTCACTATTTCCTATTGTCTGTCTTTTATCTTGTTCTCTATTTACATTCTGAGTTTCTCATATAAGAGAATCCATGCAATATTGAAGCTTGTGTGTCTGATTTATTAACTTAACATTATGGTGTTAAGGTGCATCCATTTTCCATGCATGACTCAGGTTTATCCCACTGTGTGCAAGTACCACTTTTCTTTATCCATCATCTTAGACAAAATACCTGATGCCCAAAATTAAGGAAGGAAAGGTTTGTTCAGCTCACAGTTTGTGGAGGTTTCAGTCCATAATCAACTGGCTCCAAAGCACAGTGGCATGCCACAGGGGCAACAGTTTAAAGAGGCAGAAGATAGCAAAAGCAGCAAGAGCAAAAGGGGGAAGAACAGGCCTCTTTTCCACCCTTATATTGTATGCTGGCTATCTCCTCACACCATCTCCATGCCCTCCTTTTCCACAAGCTCAGGATGTTTATAAAGTAAGGACCCTGGCTCCCTGCTGAGTCATTTAGTTAAGCTTCTAAACTTCTCAAGTTGACACAGTGTATCAACCATTACATCCATTCATCCACTGATGGACGTATGGGCTGCTTCCAAGATTTAGCTATTGAGAATTGCACCTCTTATGCCCCTGTAAAACAGCACGGCCTCTGCTCCACCGTGCAGACCTCCCCGTGTCTCACTCACTGTTGCCCAGCATGTCTATTAAATGTTCTTTTGTCTGTGTTCTGTCTTGGTTGGCCATGTTACCTACCTCTGCCATCTCACATGTCAAGTTTCCGTTGCTCAACATTTTGCCAATACTTGCTATTACCAGTCTTTTAATGCTCATCAGTCTAGGGTTTGTAAAAGCATCGCATTATCATTGAAAATCATGTTTTCTAGTTGAGTGACAATGTTGAGTGTCCTTTCACATTTATAAGTCCCTCCTCTCCCCATTGTAAAGAAATTTGGGATCACATATAATGCAAATACTATAAAATTCACGTTTTTAGGTTCTGACAAACAAGTATAATCAAAAATATACAATCATCTACAACTGCTCTTTTTGTAATTTAACTACAAATCTTTGAGAATATTCTTTCAACTGGCAACAGTCACACCTTGGATAAACCTCACTGGCTATGATACTGCCACTGCACAAAGCTGTCCAAGAATATTTTCACTACAGAATTAATGACAAGTCTGTAGAGAGATAGTAGGGAGCCTGCTTACTTCTGGACACTGAGGAAATTCAAGATTAGATCAAATCAGCCCATCTGTGTTCATCAAGAATTGGGTACCTTGGGGGCTGGGGATATAGCTCAGCGGCACAGCACCTGCCTGGCAGGTGCAAGGTCATGAGTTTGATTCCTGGTACTGGAGAAAAACCAAAAAAACAAAAAACAGAAAACAAAACAAACAAACAAACAAAAAGAATTGGGTACCTTGGAAAGCCCTGGCAAAGTTCAATGTTCTATTTTAGTAGTATGTTTTGACTTTGACTAGATTTCCTTTATGTTTTTCTTCTAGTCCTTTTTCCTTATGTCCATGTAGTAGAGAGAGCACATGCTATATAATAAATATAAAAATAGGGCACATTTCGGTCTTCCTGCACCACCTAAGGTAATAACTTATTGTACTGATTACAGAAAGACAATGAAAGCAGTTACTAGGAGGCAGAGAATTTTTGTAGTGTTTATGTGGGAAGCTTGCTGACTTTAGATCTGTTAATTTTTTAGCAATAGTAAAATTACCTGAATCAGCTGGTCCTAAATACATGAAAGTGGCATATTTTGATCTAAGCAATATGTGTTAATTATAAAATAATGCTTGGATTCTAAAAGCCTGATTTTGAAGCACTGTCAGTTCTACCCTGGATTCTAGTCTTGAACACCAAGAAGACCTCTTTCTACTCTTTTATATCATTCTATCTGCTAGCTAATATTATATTGTAACATAATGTATCTATATTCATATTAGAATGCTCATTACTTAAGCAATTGAGAATGTTCAAATTATGAATGTCCCCCTACCGGAGATTACAAGGTAATAGAGCCTAATCTTTCCTCAGGTTGGGCACATCTAAGAGGTGGGATGTGCTTTATTTATTTACTCACTCAATGATTGCTGAGTGTCTATCGTGGATCCTGGACTAAACTCAGCCCAGGAAGTTTAGATAGAACTTTCCCTGAAGAATGTGCAGTCTAGCTGAGGAGAAAGACCTATGCTGATAATAACATGTTAAGAATGATCGGCGGGAACCACAAAGTATCCAGACAATAGAGCTAGAACCCTCCTTAGAAAGTTGGAAGTGACTCTCCAAGGAGGTGAAATAGAGTAGGACGATAAAGAATGAGCAGGACTCTACCAGACTCAGCATAGAAGAATAAGATCTCTGAGCAGTGGAAGTAGCATATGCACAGGAAAAGCCTGAGGTGAGGTTGAGGGTGGGTAGTCTGAACTGTAGCAGATGAACAGGAAATAAATTTAGTGACAGAATGTTGAGTACCAGCTATGCCATCACAAGAAATTTGGATTCTTTTTGTGTAGGCATTCGATATGTAGCCATGGTGGCCAACTTGAATTTCTAAACCCAAAATTGACATGAAGAGACTTGTTTTTAGATAGATAAATTTGGTAGTATTCAATGGACACAGCCAATTGTTCAGATAAGATATGAGGATTTGACCTGTGAAATGATGGAGAGAAAGAGACAAACTCAAACGATACTTGAAAGACTGACACTGAGTTACTAGGAGAAGGAGACTAGTAAGGGGGACAAATGGAGGTGTCTTAGTCACTTCCTTGTCACTGAGACACAACACCAGACACCTGCAACTTCAAGGAGGAGAGGTCTATTTTGGTTCACAGTTACAGTGATGGCTCTGAAGCAGAAAACATGGCAGAGAGGCACAGCAGAAGAAAGCTGTTCGAGGCATTGTAGCCAGGAGGCAGAGAGAGGGAAGGAAGGTGCCAGAGAGGAACTGAACCTTCCCTAGTGACCTGCCTTTTCTGGCCAGGCTCCAGGTTCCAACAGCACATTTAACTGCTGAACTCATGCGTGGAGAAATCGACCTAGAAGCATAGCACTCTTGTGATGCAATCACCTGTTACAAGCCCTGCCTATGAGATCGTGAAGGCTTTGTGGGACATTCTCGACAGAAACCCTAACAGGAGGTTAGCAGATATGTAAAGGCCGCTATGACATTTCTTCATTTCCCCTGCAGCTGTGATGGCAGTGCCTGTGGAAACTGAAAGTGCAGAGAGAAGACTCAGCTTGTGTCTCCCTCCCAGTAACCCTAAACTACTGGGAAATGAGACTTAGTAAAAATTCTGCAGCTGCGTATCTCACTGAGAAAGTCTGAAAGCCTATTCTATATGGCTCCTCAGAAAGTCCCATGTGGAATTGCAGCATGAACTCACTCAATCACATCTCCTTTGTTCTTACTCTTTCCCTCCTGCCTGCCCTCTTCACTCCCTCTCCAGCCAGGTTAGCCTTCCAGTTAAAAACTCTCTGTCATCATTTTTCAGTCTGATGTTCTGTTTTTGGAAAAACCTATCAAAGACATAAGGGCTGCTCTAGAATCCATGACTGGACAAATAGGAAAACTGGGATCTAGATATGAAATGTTAGAGGAAAAACCATAAGGGAATAGTAGGAGATACCAAATGAATTTGGTTTGAACACATGAAATTTGAGGTGCTTCTGGAATGTTCTCTGGAAAAGGCATAAGGGGAAGAAGTAAGGAATTTATTCGTCACTAGCATACAGGTCAAGGAACAGAAGGAAATCAGTTAAGGGAAGGGATTATTTTAAGGAGAAGATGCTAAAAAGGAGGAGAGGTAAGTGAAACCCTGGAAAATGCCCACATCTTAGGGCCAGGCAACGACAGAACATGGTATTGTGTTCACTGTAATTTTATTAGTCCTTAGAGAATATATGACACAAAGTAATTCTTAGTAAATATTTGTGCAGTGACTGAAGCAGATATGGTGACTAAGGCTGAGGAAGTAAGATAATCAGTGCTCTGTGGAGGAGAGAATGTTAAAATGCAACCATGTCAAATGTCACCTCAGGTTCATCTGGCCCTCTGGCTGAACTTGGTCACTGGGCATATTTGATGGCCTCAGTGAGAGAAACAATGGGGGCAGGTCCAAAGAGCCGGTGGAAAAGGGCTC